GCTGGTATTATCAAATTCATTGTTGCATACTTATTGTAAATAACATGGCCAGGACGGCCCCCAAAGTGCGGGTCATAAGTCTGCCAAGCTACATAGAAGAATCATGTAAATGAAAAGCAAGAGCAAAAGTTAAGTTTTTGCATTAGACATTTGCACAGCATATGATATTATCATGCAGGCAAATGTTAGATGATTTTTGCCTTTACGCAATCCCAGCATTTCATTCACATGGTGGTTTGATTGACTTGTGACCGCACTTAGGAGGGCGTGTCTACTGTAAATAAAGATCTCATAATGGCCCGCTACTGCAGTAGCTATAAAGATATAATACAGTAAAAGTGATCTACCATTTTTAAATAGTCTACTCTATTAATTTACAGTTGCTTTAATCTAATAGAAGTGATAATTATCTAACCAGGTCTTATTAATGCTATTAATGAAATTACTGTAAAATCATAAATATAAAATATCAATAAATATTTATTTTGAAATACTTATTTACAATTAATTGTCTAACACCCTTCTCATTCCGGCTTTGCTTACTTCACTGACACCGCAAATCCACAGACAAGTTCACATCATAGACAGTTTATTTTACCAATAAGCTCATTTCGTAGACTGTTTTTTTAGAATTAGAGCTAAGGTTAATGTAATTTATAAGAAAAAAACATTTCCGTGAATGGTAAAAAACTGTCTACAAAATGAGCTTGCTGGTAAAATAAACTGTCTATTAAATAAACTTGTATGCGAATAGATTGTAAAATAAACATGTCAGTAAATTGTTTGCTGTGAGTATAAAGATTGAAGATAAAAACATAAACATATAAAATGCCAATTCAAAAATACTTATCTCTAAAGCTTATTTACAATTAATTACCTAATACCTTCTTATCGCATTAATTTAATCTGTGAATATAAAAATGATTTATTATCGTTAATCAGTAAAATTAATACTACGTAGTTTATAAATACTTATCTCTAAATACCGTACAGCGTGGACTAAAATACCCAGGGTACTTTACAATTTAAGCAGTATATGCGAGTATTATAGTCAGAGGGATACTATGGTCAGCGTAGGGGGTATAAGTTGCAGTATATGAGTGCTGCAGTAATATTTGAACATTTGTAATCAAACTGAAACTCCGATGACAGATTTTCTTTATAAAAAATTGATCCTGTCAATCATGTTAGTGTTAGTTGCAACAATTAATAATGTTTAACGGTAGTAAAGATTTTAAAAGAGCACGTATTTCACTTAGTAGATTCGGCAAAAAATCGATTTACAGAAAAAGCAACAAATATTGCTATTCTTCCAGGAGATCTTACTTCTAGAGTCCAGTCATTGGATGTTGCAATTAATAAAGGTTTTTATTTTATTTCAAATTTTAATTAATAAAAAAAATTTATTGTTTAGACTCACGAATATTATAATAACCGGGCAAATCGTGATAATATAGAATATACTACAATGAGTCGACTTAAAAACCCAGCTACGCTATATTGACAGAATGAATAAACAATGCCTGGTTAGT